TCGTCTTTGTAAACGCCACATGAAAGCTAGAACGCCGGCTGACCCTTCTTGTTATATTATTATTCGGTGTATGTAGGTACAAACACGACAATTTAAGTAAGTTTGTCTGCCATATACCATAAATGCATTAGCCCTTTGTAAATCTCAAACCGGCTAATAATTTTTACAACTTAGGGCCTTAATTAATGTTTTTATACTATAAATATCTTTTTTTCCCTAATTTCCTACGAACTAATATATGATGAGCAATCTATTAAATTACTGTGAGATTATATGCCTCGATCACATATTGGTGCAGATTATTTTAACCCAAACAAATAATAACGCAAACTATACATCGATGCGGATTGTCTATGAACTCTTTCTGACGGTCACAGAAACCGAAACGCGGAATTCGGTGTACTTTCGCATCTGTTATAGTTAATTTGTGGCAGAGCTATCACCTGAATTCCCAGCGGAAAATTTAAATTTTAGTCAGCCCGGCGCCGTATATTTCCATGGTTGGTAACAATGAATTTAAAAATCACGCCCTCCATTAAAAAACTAAAACTTTAATTGCTATCGCTTATATATAATTTGTCTGTAAATAACAGTGGCGTCTATTCATAAAGGACACGAGGATATATGAGATCAACCTCGGCAAGATAAAAAAGAAATAAGTGTATAATTGTCTTATTAATGATATTTTTACGTTACACTTTATACGTTCTAATAATAATAATAGAGCCAATTTTAGTACGCGAACTAGAAGTCGAGACTTGTACTAAAAATAATAGAAAAGTTTTTTTCATGTGGAGGCTGTGCTCATCCCCCTTCAAAACTCACGAGCCTCCAGCGAGTACCATGCTCTTTATGAAAAATATAAAGGCGGACTCTGACGACTCGTGTACTTGCTAAACACGTGTTATTGGCATATACTTGCCATGTTGTTTGAGTGGTTTTCTTGGAATTATTTATTAATCACTCGTCGAGCCGCGTGAGCGCCAAGCTTTTTGTCGATTACAAATGAAAAAAATGTTGTTTACGAAGATGGTATACTTGCCAACCCTGTATATACAGGGTATACAGAATTTCTAAGTTATTTATTATAGAAGCAACGCCGCATTCCCGCCGAACCCTGTATGCCAATAAAAAATACTTGCCAAGTACACGAGTCATCAAAATCCGCCTTTACTTCTAAACAAAAGAATTCAACATATTCTGGTTCTATAACACAGAAAAAAAAATTTATTAATAAAATGAAAAAAAAAGGAAATAGAACAAAAAAAAACCTAATATGAAAATTAATTATGTAGATATATATTCCAGTTTTTCTAAAGTAATACAGCCAAATTTAATATGCATATAAATATTTTAATATAAATAGAGTGCATTTTAATATAATTGTAAAGATAATTAAAATATGTTAATTAAAAAAAGTCTGTATATTTCATACACACACATACTGTAATATTACTATACTACTGTATACTTATTACTAAACAAATATGCTGAAATTTGTAAAAATATCTGATTTTCTGAATTTCTTATGCAATATAAATTGTTTAAAGGGCCGTGCAGCGCGACGTTTACGCATACCGCACTTGTTGGTTTGTGCGTGCTACCGTTTTACCGTCTACGCACAGCGAGTTCCCGATACAAACAGGTTTGCGCAGGTAAGCTCATGGTAAAGCTTGTACGTGTAGCCGGCCCTTGAAAAGTAAAGTAAATGTTTTCTCATTATTTAACTAATGTTAACTAAATCACATTATTGTGTTTTCCTGTTGTAATTTTATGTTCTAAAGTTTTTCTTTATATATTTGATCTGACAAAGAATACAATGTTGTAAATAATTTCAGTTTAAAAGTAATCTAATTACAATCGTTTACTGTCCATTCGTGCAGATGTTTTTATTTCAGTGTGATAATAAGAGCCTTGTTGAGTGTACTAACATTTTCCGACCGTGACTGGACGAATATCTTGGCAAAAAATTAATACCAAGGAATAGAGTAACTGATAGTCTAAAGATATTTGCACCAAAACTTCAAATTGAGGTTCGAGACTTGACACAAGAAACCTCTTTTATTAAAATTCATAACAGCATAACTGGATTCTTTGGAATAGCGATCAAGATTTTCTCTGTCGTGTTCTTTTAATTTAATAAAATAAGTAGGGCTATTTACAAATTTTGCGTTTGATTTACATAACCTATTATTCTCAAATTTTCCTAATATTGCTTCTGTCAAGCACATCCGAGGTAAAGCACAATAAAAAATATTTTTAACACAACGTAGGCTCCTTTATTTCATTTAAGTTGTTATACGGTTAGTTAAAATTTTACCTCTTCAACTTTGTTGAACGACCCTGGGTTTTTATACTACAACCCAAATCTGTAAATCACCATTATTTTTTAAAATTCTTCCCCTTTATCATAATACTTCATCTACAACCACCAATCGTCACCTTAAGCTCCAATTCTAATTCTCAAAACTATCCTCACTCTGCACGAGAAGGTTGAAAAAAAAGGAAACAAACCAATAAGCGAGTACAATACAAAGCCTAACCAATAAAAGCATTATCTTATTAAAGACGGTGGGCGACGCCGGCGCCTAGGCGTCTCGACGCCCCAATGAGCGTCGGGGGTGGAGCGACGCCTAAAGGATTACGTCGCAAGGGTGAGTGGGTTAGATGGCCGAGTGGTGAATCGACAGTCGCGCGTGAAACAAGGGTGTCAAGTTGGCTTAATACGTTGTTATGGTTAATAAAACGCGAATCAAGAGTATTTAGTGAGTTTGTGTAAATAATTCTGGATTGGTTCCAATAGGTAAGTTTCTAGTTGTATTATGTTATTTTTATCTCATAAAAAGTTAGTTTAATATTTATTTAAAATATTAGTGAGATTTATCATAATTTTAAAGATTATGATATACGTGTCCTTTTTCTGATAGATTATGAAAAAACAATCTGATAGTAATCTGATATATTTTTATTGCATGTTATTATTTCATTACTTACTGTTAAACATAAACAATATTAAACTAAAAACCTGTATATATAAAGAGGTTTGTATTTCAAAATATTAAATTAAAAAATAATTTTATTATACGTTTCTGAATATGAATTTATATATCCAATTAAACCATAATAATCTAATTTTTATAATTTATCAATATTTTTATTTATTAATACCAATCTTTAAACTTCAGAAAAACTATGTAACAATGAAGAATAATTTTACTTTTTTTAAAATTTGAATATATTTACGTATAATTTTATTTACAATAACAAAACTTTTAATTTAAAAAATATATCTTTTCGAATAGCCTATGATCGAAAAAAACGGCGTCCAGTTTGCTCGGAAATGAACGTGAATTATATTCCCCATAAAATTGTACCTATAAAATGACAGCGATCTTTATTTTATAGCCATCGTCTACGCCATTTTTTTCAATCATATTGTATAAATAGACAACTTTGCTTTAATTGATTTTCTCTTTATTACTTTTAGAAATAAATGTTCAAATTTATAAAAAAGCTATAAAATATTTATATAAATTATATAAAATATTCCTATAAATTACTTTTAACAATAAATGTTAATTAAAAAAGAGAACGTTTAGTTAAAAATAAATATTCTAAACTTAGCTTTGAACATCCGTCGTTTGTATATATAAAAATATAATGTAATAATGAACATTTCATTGGTAAGTCATATTTTAGTTTGCATTCGATTTGAAAACAAGAAATTTCATAAATGTATAAGTTGATCGGGATGATTGTCTGTAGACTTTTTCTTTTGTTTAATACTACGATCATTATAAAAATTTGATTACTAATATTAAAATTTGATATCAATCATAATTCTAATGTTTATGATTCGCATTTATTGTATTTATAAACCTTTACTAATATTATAAACGAGAAAGTTTGTATGTTAATTAATATATTTAGATACCATAATATCAACAGATACGATCGTGTAATAGACAAGTATTAGCAGTTTTTTTTACTTACTTCATGTAGAATAAATTCGAATTTTATGGGGACGAAGTCGCGGGAAAAAAACTAGTACAATCTAAATCTAAAAAAGGTACAACATTTAATTTAACATAAGTACTGTTATTAGTTACTTTTTAGAAAGCATTGCTTTTAAAATTTATAATTAACAAATATATCTGTTATTGTTTGGTTAGATTTGTTCTTAATTCTTTTATTTTGTTTCATATTGTTTTTGAAATTATATTTGATTTAAAAAACTTGAATATTAATACCCACTATATAAGATTTATAAAATCTTTTACCCATTAAAATTTGTCTTAAAGTTTAGTCTTATAATTAATAATAAAAACAATACATAAATAATAGTTATTGTTTATACAAGACGATTAAATGGTATCTTATCGTCGACCGAAAAGATTAATTTCGGGAGACGATAATGCAATTTTATCGTCGTGTATAAAACAATATTTTTTCCATAGCAAGTTACGTTTTAAAAAATATTCAGAAATTATTATTTCAATGAATTTATTACGAGTAGAAAAAATATTGTACTGGGTTGGCGTTGGTTTCTATGTAATTTGACAAATAAATAAAGCTGTCTCTTTAGTTGTCAGTTTTGAGTCAATATTTTTTAATTTTCTTTCCTGTCGATCGCTGATTCAATTGGAGCCAAAAATAGCTCAAAACGAAATAAGTAAATTACCAACAGATATTCCGGCTGATGCGACAATCCAAACTACTTCCATTTAAATCCCGAATAACTTATGAAAAGGAATACAAACATTTTCAAAAATGGAAGCAATTAAAAAACGTGCGAGAAGAAATAAAGTTTTTAACCTATCCTCGCTGTTCAAGTATCATTTAATCTACCCTTGCGGTTAAAGTACTGTTTTATCTACTCTTTTTGATAGATATAAAGCAATTTTAACAGTTGCCATAGAAAAAAAAATAAAAATCAACAAAGCTGATCAGAAATTTAGCTTTTTATGCTTTTAGTTATTTTTTAGTTGCGTACTTTAATAGTTTAAGTTTTATAATTCTTTAGTGTTCCAAAATACAGTGTGTATGTTTTAGGATATTCATAATGGCTGGTCCATATATATCTCCTCTGCCAGGAGACCTGTTGACAGAATATATGTTCGGTAGAAGACGTCAAAGACGTAACAGAACGACGTTTAGTCCACAACAATTGCAAGAACTAGAAGCACTTTTTCAAAAAACTCATTATCCAGACGTGTTTCTCAGAGAGGAAGTTGCACTTAGGATTAGCTTATCAGAAGCCAGAGTACAGGTAGCGCAAATTGATTATCTATCTACTATAAATAAAAATATTCTTTAATATTATTTAATTTTAAAGTTATATCTCTACAATTATCATCGAAATTATTGTTTCAATAGTCTAACGCGTGAGAAATTTTGATGGCGCCCAACGTGGGGCTGTTTTATTAAATTAGGTTATTCAATTAAATTAGACCATTCTATTAAGTTAAGCTATAAAGCCTGGCTCAGACGACTCAGTGTATTTGATAAACATTCATTATTGGTATACAGAGTCCGGCAATAGTGCGTCGGGAATAGTAGCTCCTATAATAAACAACTTAGAAATTTTGTAAAAGTACAAACCTAAATTTTGTAACGTCTTTTGTAATAACCCGTCTTTTGTAACGTTTGTAAATAGTATGTAATGTGTAGTTTTCATTTCAGGACATTTTTTGTATGTTTAATCATTTTTTTAAAAAAGGGCTGAAACAAATATTTTTTTCTTTATTTATTAATATCTCTGAAACTATCAAAACATATTTAATAATATCTTTGGATTATGTAAAGTGATCAGAAAGGAAGCCAAAAATGCAATAATATACCGGGTGCGTCTCAAAAGTGGCTCACCCCTATAACTTTCGAATTATTTTATTTAAATTCGTATTGTGATTGACTTATTAATTCTTTTTGGTCACATCTTGTTTCACCGGAAATGACCACAACTTTTGATTTTTAAATGCCGGTATAGTGTATTCCATTTAAAAATCATCCCGATCAACTCACACATTTTTGAGCCACCTTGTAGAAGTTAAAATATTTTTCTGAAATACATCTTAGTACATACTTTAGGTTTGCACTTATACAAAATGTCTCAGTTGTTTATTATAGGAGCTACAGATGCCCGACGCACTATTGCCGAACACAAGTACACTAGTTTTCTGAATTTTATATTAAATAGTGAGTTTTATATTAAATAGGGCAATTTTATGGGCATAAGGCAATTTGTTTGAATAAGGCATTTCTATAAAATAAGGCTTCTTTACATTAAATAATGGTTAAGGCCGAATAATTTTATATTTAATTTGCTTTTTAATATTAATTTTTTAGTTTTTAATATTTTCTTGACTGTATACATGATGACTTGTATACACCTGATGACTGATATACATTATATATGATATAATTTGTGTCAAGTTGTGTCAAACAATCTGCGTTTTAGGATATCCATTTTGATATTTAATTTACTTTTTCTATTTATCTTATCTTTTTTACCTGGCAGCTTGTATTAGAGACTTAGAGACTGACTTCCGATTTCGATGATAATTATTTATCATAATTTGATAATATCTGTTGATTTTTGCTTTACTTCTTTTTCAATGTACAGGGTGAATCCTCACGTAAAAATAAGATTTATTTTTTAGGTAAGATTCTTTGTTTCGTAGCTGCATTTATTATAATTTTCTTCGATGTGCTTTTAGTGAATCGAGTAAAATTTTCAGAATAAAAGTTATTATAAGTGCGACATATTTTAAGATTAAAAAAGTGTCAACATGTCAAACAAAAAAACATGTGCGCGGCTGACTTTTTTCTTGTCGCCAAAATTGTGTTGCTCGTTAATATCGATTAAAAGTTGTTTCTTGATATTTTGTGGATTTCGGAATCCTTGGTGAGATAAACGCAATTTTATTAATTACAATTGCTTCTTTTAGAAAAATATTCTAGTGATAATTCATATGCATGTCCCTGATGAATATGTCGACACTTTATTAGTATGTGTATGTGTATTTGGCATGTACGCCACTGGCTTTTTTTTTCTCTTTTTAGCTAAATAGTGTAAGCAATTTAATGCCGATTAAAAATTGTCTCTTGATATTTTACTAACTTGCCTTCATCCAAGTCTAATAGCGACCTTTAAAATATTTCAACATACTTAACTTGCAAAAGTTTTAAATAAGTACTCATTGATTCCTCATCAAAAAATATGAAAAAAGTTCCTATAAAACATGGGTATGGAAATGCATAGTTTTAGAGTTACAAGATGTTAAAACTTGAGAAGGAGGCCGAATTCGACAAAATATCAAGAGATTTTTTGTCGAATTTTAATTAGCATTAAACGACCTACACAATTTTGATATCAAAAGAAAAAGTCAGTGGCGCACATGTTTTTTTTTGATAAATATTTCAGTGATAACCCACATGCACGCCCGTGATGAATTTATCGACACTTTTTTAGCATTATTATAGTAACTTATACCCCCAAAATTTCATTCGAATCACTAAAAGTACTTGGAAAAAAAGTATAATAAATCGAAAGATTATTAAGACTTTAGAAGCAGTACTGTAGCAACGAAACAAAGCAGAATCAGACCAATGTTGATATGAAAAATAAATCTTATTTTTACGTGAGGAATCTCCCCACGGCAGATAGCACATTGTTTTTTGAAACACCCTTTATATAAACCCATCCATAGATAACTTAAAAAATATTAGAAACTTTTTTTAGCGAAATAAATAGATTGGTATGAGCGTCATCTGCTTTTTTGCCGTCATCATCTATCGAAATCTTACCATAATAACAAAACAAAGTATATTAACTTTTACAGGTTTGGTTTCAAAACCGTCGAGCTAAATGGCGAAAACAAGCCCGCCTTCAGTTACTCCAAGACGCTTGGAGAATGCGTTGCCTGGGCTTAAACTCTCCTCAACTCATCATCCCTGGACGGCCGGCAGTACCTTCCTTGCCACCCCTACCACCAGACCCATCCGACAAACCCTTAGATTACCCCCTAGTTAGTCACCAGTCCTCTTTTCCCCTACAACATCCTCCCCACTGTCCCTTGTCCCCTGACAGCGAAACGTCAATAAGGAGTTCCCCCAGTCCAAGGAACTTGTCACCAGGAGTTCCGGATGATCTGTCAGTACCGAAGAAGATGGACACGTTGAACGGATTGGACAATAATAATACGATGGTTACTCAGAATGTACAGATTTAATTTTTAGTGATAGCAATAATTAAATAATAAATATGTAATTAGAAAAAATGTTGGTGATTTATTTATGAAATTCAAGTTAAAGATCTCCCTCTTTTTATGGTGGGTTTATTTCTGAAAATGATACCACTGCGTAAAAAATTATAAGTTACATTATAGATTATAAAAAGATATTATATTTAGGGTCAAAAATATCTTAATAGTAATAATTATCCAGTGATTAATGATACTGAAATAATTATTAAGCACAGTTCATACCATATAAACTTTTAGTCAAGTGATTATAAGCTTGACCGGTACAGCGTTGCCCACTTTTATATATCTTTCTTCTTTTAATCAAAATATTTTAGGAAACAAAAATAAATTAATTATAAATATATAAAAAGTTATTATTTACATCAACAAAACTCACCTTCTTAACAGCACTTAAGGGACGTAAAAGGTCATTACTACCGTTTTCCCGTTCAAAATATTCTAATAAAGTTGCGATGAGTTATCTTGGACACTTCGCACTAAAGCTGAGGCCGCAGTTCAAGCAAGTTACCTGGAGGGTAGTGGGTATCGAGGCGCCAAGCAACCCTCCAAGTAACCCGCGGGGTATGTTTCCGTAACATGCGATTTTAACCAAACCAGCCGCAGTGCAATCCCCCACCAACTTAGGGCTCGAAGACACTGACGACCAGGTCGCACCGGCCAGGCCACAGCTACCTCTAAAACCATTAAATCAAATGATATAGCGCACACTAACGTCCTGGCCAGGGGGGTGACAGTGAAATAGGAAAATTGGAAACAGTCATTAGTGTCATTCCTGTCATCTCCTGACGACAAGTATGGCCGCCTAGACAAGGACAGCAATGTTTCTCTCTAACTATTGTCTAACTTCACAGTTTAGAATTGACAGATTTCAGAGACAACTTCAGATTTGTTCTAGAACAAATTTCGACGCCATTTTAATTCTCCCCGTTTAGTTTTGTTTTGTAAATTCAATTTGATATTTCGGCAGAAATTTATAAATATAAAGGTAATGAAGCATATAAAATATATATTACATGAAAAATCCTGGAGAAAAAGACGTTTCTGCAGTACTAGGTATGTCCCATGTATATTAAAAATAGGTAGTAAATAAACACTATTTCTGTAGTTTTTAGATGCAAGAAAATTTTGTTATGTTTATGATCGGCGATTTTTTTGAAAATGGAAACAATTTACAGCAAGGTAAGATCATTTTTAACTATAGCCAACATGAGTTATCTCCAGTATGTGCGATTTATTGTCAATAATGCAATAAATCTGACTGATACAATCCGATTGTTATCCGACTAAAAGTCTCTTTTTGCTTCTTTTTGATTTATTTTATAAACCCGGTCTCTTTGGGAATAATGGACGCTTTTTTTAAACAGTAGGTATATTTGTATTTTATACCTACTGATATTTTTATTTGTTAATTTTAGTATAAAAAAAATTGTTTTTCTGTTTTCAGGTTTTTGTATAAGGCTCCCGTTTTCATGTTCCTGCCCCCGTTTTCTGTCCCTGATGGCTGTGAATACATGTATTTATTTACAAATTACTGTAAGTCATGCTTATACCTTACTAATTTACGTTAAAATTGCATATAATTAAGTAATTGCTGTTGAAATCATTCAATTCTTTATTTTTTATATATATTTAGTCACGTTGTCGCATATTTCAAATAAATATGTTTGAATAAAATTTTGTTTTGTTTTATTTATGATAAGAAAGAGTACAAAATACATTTAAACTGAAAGAGGGCCCGCCATTGAATAACCGGAAACGGAAATAAATACGAAGCCATCATGTCAACCTGTCAATTGGAAAATTAGTTCTCCAGACGACAACGAAGGCTTTCGGTGGCGTATCGTGTTTCCACGATTTAACACAGAGTTGACACTTCTTTCTAGTTAATTATTTTATGGTCCCGGCCGTCCGTTGGTCGTTGCGATCAGAAGACTGCACGGAAATATTATTATTTTCTGCCGCTTGTTGCCGGTTTTCTTCCAAATTAATAATTTTTCAGATGAAATCCCTCAAATTCAAGGCACAATATTGTATTTTCTATAAGATATAGTGTTTTAGTGTAGTTTTTGCACACGTGCAGAAAATCCAAAGAAATAGTATACAGACTGGATCAAAGGTAAACTTAAATCTAATACCTTTTTTTTTATCAAGGGTCGATTCTAGTAAAAACTCAAAACATTTTACTAAATAAAAGAATAAAATACATACCTGTATAACTAGAATCCATAGTTAGGCACTCTAACTAAATATTTAATAAATGCAGAAAAAATAAAGTTAATCAGCTGTACTCACAAATCTTAATGTACTGACCAAAACCAAATTATTTTTCTTATCAGTTAAGCAATGATTCCTTATTATTAGCATTGGAGTTTGAAATATTCGGCTTATTTTTAGTACCTTCGACTATCTTCGATAAAATTTAATGGATTTTGTTTATTAAAAGTAAAGTTTTTATTTTACATTTTGTCCATTGGGCGCAACACTGTGCGGCGCCGGCGCTGAATATCTCCATGATTGGCAACAATGAATTTAAAAATCGCGCCCTCGATCACGTAACAAAAAGTTTGGTTGATATCAAATATAAATAAATATTGAAGTGGCATTGAACAATTTGAATTTCATTTGAACGATTTGTCACCAATGCATTTAGATATACCTATTATCACTATTATCAGGTATTAAATGGATGTAAACTAATTTTGTTCTTATCTGCCGTTTTTGAAATTACACGTTAAAAATGTATAGGTAATAAAAATACATAAAACGTAACATATATAAGTTAGAAATAGCTTCTTTATAGTTAAAAAAAAACAATAACCCTAATAATTGCAATTTTTTTCGTAAAATCTCTATATTTTCAAATTTGTTTATTAAGCTAAAATCTGTGCTAAAATTTAAAATACTTTGTCAGTCAACTATAACCTCAATTAATGAATAAAACTAGTACAATTAATAAATAAAAAATAATCAAATACAAATTAAATTGTTACACAGGATGGCCAATTAGTGCGAAGAATATCGTCGTTGTTGACAAAGATAATATGAAAAAAAATTCTATATAGATGTTGCATTGTTTATAATGGTGCATATCCTAAAAATATTTTGTCGTATACAGAGTGTTCCAAAAAAAGTTATGGTGAAGTTTTTAGTTTTTTTAAAGTGCACCGACTATTTTTCTGTACACAATTGGATTCAGCATAAAAGTCAGCTATAGTACACTATTTTTATTTGAAGCACCATACGGTGTTGCCATTAAAAGCGCTATATCCGAAAAGAATTTAAACATTAAAGTGAATATAACTTTATTAATACTTAGCTATATTTCTTATATTTAGAGTGTTAGAGAGTCTAAAGAAATATAATATCGCAAATACCTACAAAACCGCTAAAAAATATAAAATACATTAAATACAAAAATAATCAATCTTTTTTTCATATCTTCGACAACGATGACGATATTGGAATTCCTCGCACTAATGGGCCACCCTGTATGTTATCAATCTACTAATATATATATCAATACTTAAAACAAACAAAAAATATTAAAATCACTTATTTTTATAAATTATATCCAGTTCCTATTCAAACACAGCCTTGTAATTTCTACAATTTTGTTCACGTGATTCTCGCTTAGTTCTATTGCTTGATCCATTTCATCTTTGTCGATGTCTTCTACACTCTTGAAATCTTCGTGCATCAAGGGTAGGGACATCCACAAAATATGGAAGTACTCGTAGTACTTCACCGCTGTTGCTATTTCTTTTTGGTAACTTTGAGATGTATAGGGTGTAGTATCTACTCCTAGTAACCGCAATTCTGCTATTAATCTGTCATAATAATACTGGAAGAGGTCGTCTAAGTTATTTTCGAAGAATTCTTTTTGTACACTGGTGAAGAGGAAGAATGTGACGTCGTTCAAGGGTGTGGCGTAGTCGAAAACTTGAAAATCGACTATGACGCAGTGAGACGGTTTGCCATTATCGTATTTAATCAAATTGTTGTTCGTCTAAAACAAAATAGAATTTTTTTAATAAAAAAAGTGACCTGCTGTTCCAATAATGATCCAACTAGTTGCCCTTTTGAGTTTTTTATTTCAATATTATTTTTTGTAAAATATGCAGACAATATTAGAAGCTTTTACATCCCACTAGTCAACTTGCATACCCAACAATGTTGCCTTATTTTATGAACGGTTTTAAGAACGGTGGAAAGTAAAACACCTAGCTATAGCCAATAATGCGAGGGCGGCTGTGGCTCCGTGGGTGAGGCCGTCGCTTCGGGAACGAGAGGTCTCAGGATCGAAGCCCTAACCAAAACTTTTTTATTTTTTACAGCTGTTTTTAATTAATTTAAAAAATAGCTGTAAATATGTAATAGCAATCAAAATACGCCGTAGGCGTGTTTTGTTTGCGTTGGTTAATCTCTGGGGTAAGTTTTTTAGCCGACCATACCAATAGGTATGGTAGGCTATTAAGATCGGATTTTTTTTTTTAAATTTCACTCAAAATGAGTTATTTGGGTCATAAATGACCTAAATACAAAATATTTTCATGGTGTCTGTCCGTCTGTCCGTCTGTCCGTCTATAACACGATAAGTCAAAAACCGCTGAACCGATTTTAACCAAATTTGGCACAAAAATACTGTGGCACCCGAGAATCTGGCCATTAGTTTTTGGTGGGAGTTGGTAAGGGGGTATGGGAGGGGGTTAAAAATTTTAAAAAATCGTAAATCCAAATTTACAGTAGCTAGCGAAACGCGGTTTTCAAATTAAGATTAGGAATAATATTTGCAACAAAATTTGTAATAACATCAAAATCAGTCAAAGTCGCAGTTTTCTGCTATTAACGTTGTTATACCATTTTCGGATGGGCGGCTATACGTGCCTCCGGGCGCCAATTTTTTTTGTTTAGATTGCACGCGAAATACCCGACCGATTATCGTTTATGCTCGTGCAAAACTGCGAAATTAAGGGACAACAAACGACAACGTTAGGTATTTGGGGAGTTGACTAGTGGGACGTAGAATCTAGTGACAATATTGGCATACACCTGAGGCATATTTTCACAGGTATATAGAATATAGAACCATTAAAGTTTATAGCAAGTTTTTATTTGCTTTAAAATTAGCATTACAAACAAAACATTGTCAGAATCTATACAAAGTTGTTTTTGAAATATACCTATTTTGAGACAAAATTTTCAGCTCATTTACAGATCGTCTTAAAATATGAAGTGCTAAATCTCCTTTATTTATTTAAATTATAAATAATTTAAATAGTGACTTCCTTACTTGGTGTAGAATATGACATTATTTTATTTTTGAACTGAAAATTTATTATAAACTAGCTGACCCGACAAACGCTGTTTTGCCATATAAACAGTCATTTTTATTCACGGGGTTGAAAATTATTGAATTATTAATATCACTGAATTATTATTGAATTATTAAAGGTGCCGATGGCGTAGAGGTACAGCTCTCGTCTACCAATCTCAAGGTTGTGGGTTCGAATCCTACACCCGGCATTTGATCAGCCGACTATATTTCATAAAAATAAAAATAGTTTGGCTACATAGGTCGACTTAATCTTAAATGACTACTTAGGATTCACAATCTTGAGGTAATAATAGGCGGTTGAAGCGTAGTGCTAGCCACATTACCTTCCTTGTATACCGAACGGCTCTAGCATGGCAAGCTGTACCTTTCCTACCCTCAAGGCGTTATACGGGAGCTATTATTATTATTATATTAATATTACTATTAAAAAATAGGGTTTGATGGTACAACATCACTTAGGGGTATCTCACCCTTATCACTTAGGGGTATAAAAATAAATAACAACTTATTTTCAGACTTACTAAATATACATATAAAATTACATCAAAATCAGTCAAGCCGTTTCGGAGGAGTACGGTAACTAAAACTGTAACTCGAGAATTGTATATATTAGATAGAGCATTATATTTCAGAAAATACAACATTACCTTAGAAATTGAAATGAAAATATTTTAGGTCAACATTGGGTCACCTTGTATAACTTACCCAAGAATCGTAATGTATTAGAGTACCCCAAGCATCACTAACGTTAGTTTTTTCAACGTCTCGGTCAAAAGCGTCAACGATTTTTGGATTTCATTTTCAGAGAATCCGTTGGACTTTAACGCATGAAGAAAAGTTAATCTCATCTAAAAACAATCATTTTTATCAAATTAATGTTTAAAAACATACTGTACGTGTATTAGTGCGTAATTTATCCAAAAAAAAAATAACTAACACTGTATTCTGAAAAAAAATATTACCGTAAAAATTAATCCAGCGTCTGGGTGAAACGTATAGAAATAAGGTCTAAGATTTTTTTCAAAAACTTCAGGTTGTTTCGCTTTAAGTCCCATTCCCGCTGCGTGAAACTTGGCTAGAGCTGTCAGGACGACCTTAGAATGTTCCAGGTCAAGTCCAAGTGATTTTTTGCCAGTTGAATATCCGGCAGTTCTTAAGTTTTCCATCAATATGACAGCATCCGAGTCTACTTTGTTGCTACCGTCTAGGTTAAGTCTGCCATTTATAAAGGGAGCTAAGAAATCTGCTCCTGATGGTACGCCGTTCTTTTTCAAGAATTGGTCTAGTGTAGGACATATTACTGCGTAAAACTTGTATTCGTTTCTAAAAAACAAAAATAATGTGAGTAACAATCTGTTATTTTACAACCTGTTATTTATTTCAAATAACAGTTCTCAATAGGTGTTACATCCAAAAAAATAACAAGCATGAAAATATCAACACGCTAACAGCAACAGCTCGCAATATCGTGATCGTCTTGCTATGAAATTTACCAAGCTCGTAACAGTTGTCGCAAAATAAAAAAAAATATCCATATTAAGGTAGTATCACACACAGCTAGTTTTGTTGAGCAATTTTTTTGCCGCCGCTGCAAAAGTTGCATACAGTGTTCATACACCAGCAGAAAGTAGCCCAAAACGCGCAGTTTTTATGCAGCAGTTGCCTAAAAAAGTTGCAGGTCGACACTACATGCTTTTCATATGTTCACACCTAAGCGCTACTTTTGCAACATATTTTGGTAGCATATTTTGTTTTGTAGGTTTCATCTGCTTCGCAACCAGATTTGGAACTTTTCATTTTTGAACGTTCTTTCGAATATTGTGCACGCAACGAGTGAATTTTCTTTTTTATGTCTCCATCGGATATATGTAATTCAGAAGAAATTTCCGAAATAGAGGCAGAATGGATTTTTTATGTTCCATAAACACTCCCTTGCTTCTACCGCTTCTATTAAACATTTTACTTGTTCTCTGTTCCAAATCGCTTGTTTTGACTTCGACGACATCGCAATTTGTCGGTTAATTCTTTACTAACCTACATAATAATATCCTGGAGTTAACTGAAAAAAGTGTATACATTTCGGGCATACCAACATAATACTGAACCGATGTCCCCAGTAAAAGTTTCTACTGATTAGTAATCTTTTGCTGCACTTGCAACCTTCTTAAACTGCGCGCAACAAAAAAGTAGCCTACGTAACCAAGCTTCGATCGCAACGTTGCAGGTTGCGTAGGTATTCACACTTGCAGCAAGTTGCGCAGGTTTTTTAATGTGCTGCGCAACAAAAGTAGCTATAGCTGATACTACCTTTATTCATATTATGCCCATCAAGTTTAAATGATTTGCTTTATACCAGTATTAGCTACAACTAAAATATGTAAAGATCATACCAATTTAGTCACGTGATTAAGCTTAACCGGTACAGCGTTGCCCATTTTTACATATTTTCTTTTAATCAAAATATTTTAGGAGACAAGTAAATTAATTATTAATATATAAACAGTTATTATTTACATCAACCCGATTCCTTAACAGCAGTTAAGAGACATAAATAATTTAATACCATTACTACCGCTTTCCCGTTCAAAATATTCTTGCCTATTAAGTTATCTTGTACCACTTCGCACTAAAGTGTCAAAACGAATGACAATGTCAGGAAATAAATAAATAAATAGGGCAACTTGACATTTTTTACAGCATAACTACCACCTGAATCCCCAGCGGGAAATTTAAATTCCAGTTAGGCAGTCATATCCTTGTCATATCCATGATAAGCCATGGTTGGCAACAATGAATTTAAGAATCGCGCCTTAACTAAGTAATTACGTAGTAAGTACGTAACTGCATTGTTTTTATCTCGATTAAAAAAGAAGATAAATATTGCTTTTCTCTTATTTGCTAGTGCATTTAATTCCAAGAATTCCATAAATATTTACTTACCTATATGTCACTTGTGTATCAAACACTTCTTGTATTCTTTGACTATCAGGAACGGTTTTTGCGACTGTATCTAATAATCTTGTTTGTTTGGTTTTTGTATTCTCTATTGTGATAAGAACTCTACAAAATACGAAAACAAAACTATTGTTAACGTTAAATATTACTGTATAAATAATTTTAGTTTATTGTCGAGTATTTTGTAAGGTTTTGTGTTTTTTTTCTTGACATTAAAGAAGGAATTATGTATATTAAATCGGAAATAAATGGCGAGATAAGAGAGAAAATCGTAAATTAAAAAAGAATTTTCAAAAATGCCCAAAACATTTTTCAAATCACTTTTAAATTGCGTACTTGAAATACTTTTTTTAAATAAAAAATAGAGCTGTATATTATTTAAAGTGGACAGATTAATATCTAAAAATATATATATGTTATCGACGCCTATGATCCTTATGATAGGCAGTCATTTTCACGCCGTGCCTGCACCCCGTGTCCGCTGATGTTTGCCAGTAGCGGAGTAGTAGGCTTTGGAAACAGTCGAATGTCAGAGTTTGTTGATTTCGGCCGAGGGAGAAGACATTGTTTGTCAAGCTAGTTAGAATTATATTTTAAAATATTAATTTATGTAAAATATATTAATCTCCCGATTACATCAGAAGTGGGATGAGTTTAATCCAGCGTTCTTAGGCCGTACAGGCGTATTTCTGACTTACTGACGACTATTGACTTGACTTTGACCTTTGACCATATCGTTTCGTAAATGCGTCGGTTTCGAGGATCTTTTCGGTCGTCTCAGATACGGTTACCCGTCGGATTTCGGATACTGTCGTCGGATCGGTGAAGCGCGAAAAGAAAACCGGAGGGATCATTCTGCTAGCTCTAGTGCTCGAAGGTAATAACGAAAAAAGCAGTGCTGAAAAGAAGCGTCATATCACCCCTACAAGTTACAGACTCCAGAAGAATAACAGGAATAACAGGAAAAGGTAGTGAGCCAACACATTATCTGAACAAATCTCTTCTGAAAGGTATTTTAAAAATGACTAGAAAAAAAATCGAGATAAATTCTAAGGTAATTAAAATTCTAAGGTAGTATTTTTATACAGTAAAAATTGTTGCCATGGAGACAGATTTGAGTTTAAAGTAATTGTTCGGATTTTTGGATTTCGGATTTCGGTGATATAAATCGCCTCGTGGTTCAAGAGGTCTCGAAGAGAGGGCGCTACCGTAGTCGGTTGATAAGGGTCGATTTCGCTTGCGAAAGAAGATGAATGCGAACCTCGGCACAAGGCACAAACAGACAGTTTTTCACGTAAAAAGTAAAATTTTATTGTTAAAATTAAAAGTTAAATAAATATCTATCTATGGTCCTTCTGAGGAATCAAATTTCTAGAGTTATGTGTTATTTATTATATTAGTTATGTTGAGTATGTGTTATTTTATTCTCATTAAACTTCTTGATCAAGCCGAAACGTGGAACGGTGGTTTTCAAACATGATTTTTATTTTTGTGCGTTGAAATATTTTGTTGAGCTTTTTAATTAAAAATATTAAACAAAAGTCGAACAGTAATTTAATAATTTCATTGTTTATTAGGTAAATAAAAAATATATCAAGTATATACAGGTATATTCAAGACTTTATGTGGAAAGGTAAAAAAGTCTTCAAAAGTTTTTCAGTTTTTCAGAAGTACCTACTATCGATTGTTTCATAAATATATAATTTATATTTTTCATATATACATTTTTAATTATACCCCATTTTACTTATTACTTATTTTATTACTTTAAGTTTAGTTATAGATGTTATTAATATTTAAGCTATATTTTTAATTTACTGAAACTTTCAACTTTAGGTAGTCTAGTATTGCTATATCAGAAATATACTAGGTGTTACATGAATGTACTTGGTAATTATCTTTAGTGATTAGAAATACAAGAGAGAAATAGTAGATATGTAAAATTTAAAGTTGAACATTTATGAAATCAAACGTTTATTAAGGAATATTAATTTATTATAATCACCTCATAATCCTTCTAATATACACGCAGTTTCGATCTAATATTTGAAAATTCATTTTAAGATGCTGTTTTTAACATAGTCTTTAAGAAAGTTATTTTGTTTTCTTTTATTATTTTTTATTATGTAGTTGAATAAATTTATGTAGTTGAATAAATACATGGTTGTAGAAAAGTTAAATAGGTTCCGAACTTCAGGCTTTGAAAATTCACTTGAGAATTATATCAAAAATTCACATAATTTAAAAGTACCTATTACATTAGTTTTTCAATTATTATAATATAATTTTAACCAGCTCATTATATTTCAGAGTTTTTCAGTTTAATTCAGGTATTTCACTAGTATTTCAAGAACTTTATTCTTCGTATACGCCATATTTAATAGCAAATAACCCTTCGAGTAGTGTTGTAATAAATTAACACATAGTGAATGTTAAAAAAGTTGTGTAAAATTTAGTAGAAGATGAGAACGAAGCGTTTATTAAGTACACAGGGCTACTTTTTAATAAAAGCGTAATTTCTTGTAATTAGAAATAAATGTAAATTAAATGTCCAGATGGGTCAAATTCTAGGCGCCAGAGTACTATTATGTAGTAGATTTCACAACACGCTGTAGATATCTTGAAAACAAACTACTAAAGAACGACATAAAATAAATATTCTGGGAAATAACATATTGTTTCGGTAAAAACATACTTAAATAGTTTTTAACAATAACGTCTAATAGTTTATATACAACTAGAAAATCCGATTATCTTAATCTTATATAAAATGCATACACTTTTCATATTATGCGTAAACAAAAATAAGTAAAGCGGTACTATATCATTTTAATTTAAAATACATAAACTAAGCTACCTAGGTATGTACTTAAATCTTTATGCGTAAATATATGAGTTTTACAACCCCGAATAAAGTAATCATTTAGGGATACCCTTTTACCTAAAAAAACGAATATTCTCAATATAAACAAGCCATATCTCACTACCTGAATACTGTTTGACATCCACGTGGAATGGGACAAGTAGAGAGGCATAATCTCTAGTATGTGTAACAAGTTGCATTACGATATCTAGGTTGAAAATGTTTCAAACATTCAGTTTGGATTGTGTGGAATCTAAGCACTAGGAGCAAAATGAGCGTATCTGGACAAGTTGCGTTTATCCCTCCGGGCGTAAATGATCGACGTTAGCGAGTTTCGGCGTAAATTAGTAGCGAATTATGCGAAATATCAAGCGGAATAAAAGAAAAATTGGATGCGTAGCGAACTATATTCAGCGTTAGATCTACTAAGGATCTGCTAAGGATCACTCCAATCAATCTCCAAGGTAGACAGGTTCATTTGAATTTCTAAGCAGCTGAGGATTGG